CCCCAAAACCCCAAAACCCCAAAACCCCAAAACCCCTTTGAATGTTTTTACAATTGAAGAGAGAAATAAAATTAAAATAATTTTAATAAAACCTTAACGACAATGATGCAAACAGGATTGTACAGATCAGTCTATGATAAGAACGAGAGAATGAAGAGAAGGGATGAGAACTTCAGTAAAAATCTAGAAGGAATCCATCAAAAGTAAGTTTTTACTCTCCCTAGCTGCTTAAGACCCAAATTGGGGATTCAACCTTATGAATTTTTCTTATTCTGTTTAGACCGAGATATGGGATGTTCTCCTTCCCATCCAACATTGATCCTTCCATTGAGAAGAAGAGAAACACCATGACCAACAACTTCAGAGGATATGAAGGAAATAAGAAGAATTTTGGGACTGCTAAGATGCAGAAAGGAGGCCTCGATGGGGCGCTATTCTCAACTCCTGGATACAACTGTATTGGTGATCCTTACGAAGACCCTGGAAAGTTCAAACTCAGATCTGAGAGTGCCACTTCAAGGAAAAACCTTCATAATAATGAGTTTAGAACCGGAGGAAGAGTCAATCATAAGGACGGTAGCGATTATTTGAACACACCTGACCTTACCAGAAGAAATGTGAGTGCAAATAGGACTTGGGGCCCAAGAGGTTTCTTCACTTCTCCTAATAAGAAAGGAATTGCACCTGGTTCATTACTCCAGAGGAACCCTTACCCTCACATGGCTGATGAGTACGACCGTAAGAAGGATATGATGAGAGATGAGCTTATGAGACAAAGAGCCCTCGATCTCGCAAATGGCTTCAAAAACGTAGTTAAAGGAAAAGATACATTTGGATCAAATAAAGATGAATATGGAGAGGATAAGCTAAATATTCAGGATAAGCGCCTAGCTAAGAAGTATGAAGGAGTAAAGCATACTCAACCATGGAAGTATAATAATGAATCGAGGTTTGCTAAAAAGACCATCAATGAGGTCCCAGCGTATATAGATGAGAAGAAGAATGATGGTCCTATTGAGGCAGTTGTAAGGAAGCAGAATGAGATGCCTTGGTATTACACCTACAACAGAAGATCAGAGCCAGCTGATACTATTATGCATCACTTTAAGAATAAGCCAAAGTATGCATTCTTAAAGTAATCAGCGATATACAATGGCTTTCTCCCTTGAGGGGTTTTGGGGTTTTGGGGTTTTGGGGTTTTGGGGTTTTGGGG